GGGACGTGAAGCTGCTGGGTGTCACAGGGCTCCGCTCTTGCGAGACTGACAGGGGTGACAGCATCTCACCAGCATCTGGTTACCAGGAATGTCACGGATTTGCTCCCCTGGCTGTGGGACAGGGGTCCTGGGAGCACCGCTGCAAGGGGGGTATGGCTAGATGACCTCCCATGTGCTCTGTACACACACAGGACTTGAAGGCTGGAGATCTGGGCAACGTCAACCATCGCTCGTGGCTCTTTGTGACCCCAGGGCAAGTCCTCAGCATGGATAAGAGGTATGATGTGAAAAAAGCTGGAAAAACATGCAGTTCACACGTCCCCACTCTGCGAGGCTGCTGCACCTGACCAGGGCCGGCTTCACCGAGGAGCTCCTCCCAGGAGAGATGGAGTGGAAACAGTCACTCTCAAATTGTTCGCCCTCCACCCACAGGTCTCTTCCCATGCCCACCCCCACTTCTGGTGCCAGAACAAAGGACTGAAGAGGAATGCGATTCTCAACATGATGAAAAGACCACGAGTTAAACAAGAGCCAAAGAGTCAACAGAAGTAAAATGTTAATTAAGACAAGAATAACTGCAACGGAACAACGGAGCCGGCCCACAGCGAGGCTGGGGGTATGCCCACAGCAAAGTGTTCCTTCGCCAAGTTGCTAATCCCAACTCTGTGTGCCCACATTCACAATCTCTGCAGCATTGCCAGGCATAGCTGTGGTGCCTGACGTCTTGACAGAGTAATGAATTTGAGTCCTCAGGAAACGAAGTAAAACACCAATTTTAGTTCATAAATAGCACATTTTAGTAAGCTTTAGTAACACACTATGTACTTTACTGATTAGTTAATAGTTCTTGGTTGCAGAAGAAAATGAAAATCCATGCAATTTTGCCTGTAAGAATTGAAGAAAGAACATTCTGGAATGTTCAGGTCAGTGGAGAATCATCAGGAAGAGCCTTGTTGCCCACCAGTGGATTTCAGACTTGGAGGCACACCGATCTAAATTAGAACTAACATCAGAGTTAGGACAGATATCTGTGTCATCAATGGACAAGAGATGTGTACCTAGGGAGACATTTCCATGAGAAACTTAGCGGACACACTAAGAAGTAAGAGGTGTGTCATTCCTGCCACTGGTTAGCCTGCAGAGCCCCACAGGGGAACTTCTCAGTCAGGATCCTGGAACGTGCTGGGAGGGAGCAGGAGGCTACAGGATCTCCTTGACTGAAAATCTCTGAGAACAGCCCAGCCCAGCCTTCCAGAAGCTTTGACACTGACTTGCCTGAAGGGAGAAGGTGGGCCCTGACCCCACTGACAAGCCTTTTCTGGATCTATAACTGCATGATTCACCCTTCACCCTTTTCAATGCCCCTACATCTTTCCTGTTCTCCTCCACAAAAATTTGCCCCATAAAAGTATTTGCTCAAAGTGTCAGCAAACTCATGGGCCTGGCCCCTGACAGGGACAGGCGCCTGAGAGAGTACCACAGACAGTACTTGTGTCTTCCTCTCCCCTTGTTTAACAATGTGTACTGGTGAAGAGCTTGGGTCCTGGAGGCAAAGCAGATACGGATTTAAACCCCAGTTCTGCTACTGGCTATGTGCTCTCTCAAGCCTTATCTATCAATAGGAGATTCTATCTCAAAGGGCTGTGGGGGAAAACGAAAGACTGATGTGAAGGCAGGAAAGTGTTCAGTGCATGGCTGGGAGCACAGTAAATGCTAGAAAGCCCAGGGCTCCTGCTACCCTTCTCAGCTGATGACCTCCAGTGGGTGGTCAGGGCTCTAGGACAAATGCTCTGCTCTAGGACAAATACAATGTCTTCGAGGAAACCTCTCCTCATTACCAAGATTCTCCTTGCTGAACTTCCGCAGTCCCCATTCCAGCACCAAACGTGTGCCTCTCTGCACTGACATAAAGGTCTCATGCGAATGTCTCCCACTGTCACCCCCTTCCTCAGGCTAGCTTGTCAGCTCGCTGTGTGTTGGCTTTCTGTCACCACAGTCCCCTTCCCTTTCAAGCCCGGGTTCAGATGGTTTGAATACAGCATAAACAATCACATAGGTGTTGGATAAATGTGGGAGGTGTGCCCATGTCACTTTTTCAGGTATACACGTATTTGGTCTTGACGGTGGAGAGACAAGTCATGAGACATGATGACATGTGGGGCTTGGTCTCCCAGTCTGCAAGTGAGTCACTGTGCAGCCTTAGGCGGGAGGTCTGTAAGAATGCAGCGACTGCCACCTGCCTCCCTCCAGGGGCTGGGGAAGATGAATCGGGCTTTTTAAGCAGCAGCGGTGAAACACGACCGGCTTCTTGATGCTAAGTAAAGAAGAGCATCTGGGCTCTGATGGTAACAAATGGGTCTCATTCTCTTTCAGCATCTCCCAGCTCCGACACCACTAAACAAGGCCAGTAAAATAGGTCGCAGCGTTTTAAAATCAGATTTCCAGAGAAATCTTCCCCCAGGAACTTGTGACACTGCCAGGAGATTTTTCAAAAGGCTAATCTAAATTCCTTCTCACTTCAGGCTCCCTTCCCTTTGCCTTTTGCCTAGTGAGATCAACAGCTCTGACCACCATTATACGGTGATTATCTTTATTCTTAAAATCTTTATTTTTCTCTGTTTTCCAGGAGTGGATTTAGACTAGAGGGGACTGTTTCCTTCCTATCAGTATTCACATCATTCTTCTCTCTTCCTTCTCCACGCTTTCCCCCCCTTTCTCCCTCTCAAACCAGCAGACCTCCCCGCAGGGCCTGTGTTGGCCTGGACTGCCGGGTCCTGCAGCGGCCACCACAATGAAAGACACTCTGACAGCTGGTTCATGCTGAAGCCTACTGTACCAGCCCCATGACCGGAATCTGAAGGCCCCAGCCCTGTCTGCAACACGGATGCATCATGGGCTGAATCCAGGCCAGTGGGGTCTTTTTGTGGTTCAGGGACAGTCACTCTCACTGAACATCTGGTAAAAGGTCCCTAGTTCTTTATAATGGTAATTAAGGTGTGGCTAACATGGAGGCTACTTAGGATCTTTGAAATAGTTTGAGGTCCCAAGGGAAAGGGGAGTGGGATCCTAACAGCTGGTGGAATTTCAGAGCGCAGAATATACAGGATAACAAGGCGGAGGAGAGAAGCAGAAACAAGGTGCAGGACAGTGGCTAACAAATATGGTTTAGCAGCACTGCCCTGTCTTCAACTGAAACCTTCCATGGAATCCCACTCCAAGCTCGGATGGGAGTGGCACTGCTCTGCGTGGAAGCCAGGGTAAATTGGTGGAGGTACGGCCCACACTTCTGCCTCCTCACCCCTGCTCTCCTCTCCTGAAAGGGTGGTTCCTGGCACCCACAAGGAACCCCCAGGCTTCCGTGAGTGAAGGAGCAACAGAGAAAGGAGGTAAATTTACATACACAGTGAGAGGGGATGGCAAATCAACTTTAGGGTCTTATGGGACCATGTGGCCAGCATATTTGGGTATCAGTGGTCCCATTGCTTTCATCTTTCTAGTTTATCATGTTTCTTAGCCTTGATTTTCATGACCAGATATATTTTATCAGAGTATATTTTTGTCATGCATCTCAAATCTTTGCAGACTAAGTTGATGTCTGGATGTATGCACACAGTTCTAGGAAGAGAGAAGCAGGCATATCACATCCATGATAAATAAGACATTCATAGGGTTTGGTTTCACTTGCTATACAACTCACTATTCTGAAAGGGGCTAATTACTTTTTAATTTTATTTATTTATTTGAGAGAGAGAAAGAGCGAGAGAACACGAGCAGGGGGAACAGCAGAAGGAAAGGAGAAAGCAGGCTTCCCACTGAGCAGGGAGGCCAATGCAGGACTGGATGCCAGGACCCCAAGATCATGACCTGAGCAGAAGGTGGACACTTAACCACCTGAGTCCCCCAGTGGCCCAGGTACTATGATATTTTACTATGCTTTATGCTGGCTTAAAGCAAACCGAATGAAAACAAAATACACTCTAAAATGAACTCAAGATTCTTTAGTGCCTCAAAAATAGAGCTTTACACTATTAAGGCCACACTTTCCCCTGAACAATGAAAGGTATTCTTAAAACCACTTATAGTAAGATGTTAAACACAGATGGTCTAATTAGTCCTTTTACTTTAGCTGTATATTTATTAGGAAGAGCGGCAATAATAAGAAATACTTTGCTAAGTGAGATTTCTGTGGACTTTTAAATTATAAAAGCAGACTTAGAAAAATACTGCTTTCTGTAAATTTGGCTGAGGGCTATTAATTTCTGAAATTATCTACAGAAAAGCGTAACATATACTTAAGTGTCCATCAATTTGAAAGACTCGAGAAAAAAATGTGAAATCCAAACAACTGCAGTATGTAATTTTTTCTGATTTTTAAAGGAATATTTATAGCTTGAAAGGGAAAAGCTAGTGAAATATATAAAAATCAGACAAGCAATTCTTTTCCTATTTCAGGAAAATTACATACAGTTCTTAAAGAAGACATTGACAATTAGCTCTCAGTTGACACATACTCATTATGCTAGAATTTCTAAAAACTCCTCCCCTTTTTATTTCTGAGAAGGGAAACACATTTCTTTCAGAATTGGAAGAATGGCTTTAATGACCTATATAATCTATAGCTCAGAAGTCAGATCCATCAGACAGCCTGTTTTCCTCTGGTCAAAGCTAAGAATAACTTCCACATTTTTAAACGGTTGGAAAAAAAGTCAAAAGAATAACAACATTTTTTGACAGGTCAAAATGACATGAAATTCACATTTCAGTGTCCATAAAGGTTTCTGGAATGCAGTCATGCCCATTCATTTGTACTTGGTCTGTGGTTGCCTTCCTACTACCACGACAGAGTTGAATAGTTACAACTGAGACTGAATGGCCCCCATGCCTGAAATATTCCTACAACCTGGCCTTGCCCAGAAAAATTTGCCGACCCCTGACCTAAGAGATGGAGTCCACTGGAGGGCCCCTCTGTGAGTCCTCGGGGCATGCAGCAGGAGACGTACCTGGTTGAACTGGCGCAGGCATTTGTCCAGACACCAGGAACAGCAGAAGCAGCGTCTGCACACACATCTGGACCATGGGCCACGCTGCTGGAATTGGGATCAGAACCAAACAAACAGAGTCAGAAATACAGAAAGAAAGAAGCAGGCAGTTTCTGCAGACACACAGTCCAAGTTTCTAACCTGGAGATTTATGTACCTGGGGAGGCACATGGTGTGGGAGACGTCCTTCCATTCTGCATATGCTACTACTACTACTGATTATTACCATGATTATCGCTGAGGGTGAAGCTTCTCTTCTGTGGGCTTACCTTGTGATGATTGCTGGTGATCTCAGCAAAACCAGAAATGGGTTAGTCCATATTTACTAGCAAAGGTAAACTAGGCTTTCTGGTTCTAGTTCAAAAAAACCAAACAAACAACTCTTTCCATCTTCCCCTAAGTGTTGTCAGTGATAAAATTTGCTTTTTCAAACCAGTTTGTGTTCTTGAAAAATCCACTACCTAAAGACCGTGAAACAAATAATACATTGTAGATACTAATTATGTGCCCATATAAAAAAAGGAATCAAGTTTAACTTTCTTTGCAGAAAAAAAAATTCCATACAGAGATTTTTTAGGGCTAAATTTCAAGGGACAAATTAGCCCTTTGACATGTAATTTGGACATATGCATAGCTCAAGAGTAAATAAAACTCTTGGAGGAGGGGCGATTGAATGTGTCCCACTGACTGCCCAGAGTTAAAAAAACAAAAAACAAACAACAAAAAAAATCCCTTTAAACAATCCTGAAAATAGTCCTCTCTTGAAGACCCCAGAAGTAACTCAGCCTTATATGGACATTTTCTCGTCCCAGTGTTAAATCAATTGGATGAAACTTGATCTGGACACTTTTCAGCCTGGCTGTGGTTGTGAATGAGCCATTTCATGTAGGAAAGATCACACAGCAGTGGTGAGAAGTGTTTAAGTAGTAGACACAGTGTGGGGAAAACCGCATCTTTTTAACTGAAGAAAGCAGGGAGATCATGAAAGGGGAGTTTGGCCCCCTGATCCTTCTGGGATCTCAGAAGTGATAAATAACCTTTTGGACCCCTGCCAGAGAGACCAGTCACTAACACCTCTTTTAGATTGATGGAAGGCTGCTGGCCCAGAGTTTAAGGAGCCTAGCTCTAAGAAGGATGGCAAGGTTCCCTAGTGCTCATTAATTTGTGATTATCTATTGCCAATGCATATAATGAATATATTTAAAATAGAAATATGTTCTACTCTTTAAGAAAGTCCTTCTTGAAGGCGCCTGGGTGGCAGAGTGGGTTAATAAGCCTCTGCCTTCAGCTCAGGTCGTGATCCCAGGGTCCTGGGATCTAGCCCAGCATCGGGCTCTCTGCTCAGCGGGGAGCCTGCTTCCCCCCCTCTCTCTCTGCCTGCTTCTCTGCCTACTTGTGATCTCTCTCTCTCTCTGTCAAATAAATAGATAAAATCCTTAAAAAAAAAAAATCCTTCTTGAAATTGAAGGATCAAAGTACAAAATGCAGGAGCCAGAGTAGCTAGGTTTGGCTTGGAACTGGAATGCCTCTGCAAGTCACCAAAATGCATACATTTTTCCATCGCTTGAAATGTAGCCCTGAGAATCTCACTATAGGATTTATTTCCAAAAAAAGTCAAACTTGATTCTTTTTTAATGTGGGCACGTATTAGTATCTACAGGGCAATCTTTCAATAGAAATACAAGAAAATACTCTATGATCAGGGCAAGTCCTTAGCATGTATTTCATGATAAGGAAGCTAGATAGCTTTATGTGAAATTCAATCCATTATTCCTAATTCATATACCAATCTTAAGCTTTGATTAGACACTTAAAAACATCAAACAATTTTAAAATATAGGAATAAATCCACGTGTAGAATTTCCCCAATTTATGTGTCCTTTCGTAAGGACACATACCCACGTCCAAAAGGTTGGAATCAGGTAAACTTGTGAAACTCTGATCAAGTCACAAACACTGAGGTGGGGGTGGGTAAGGGATTAACATTGTGTGAGAACAGAAAAGTTGGGAAAAGTCCAGACTTCCCTTGTTTGGCAAGCCAGAAATACCATGAGAACAGCTGTTTTCCTGGTGTTCTGGTTTCCACTGGCATTCATAACCAAATGTGCATGGAAATAAAAACCAGGGAGGAGAAAAACCCCCAGGCACAAAAGCCCTACAGTTTTCTGTCTTTTGAGCTGAGATTTAGGTCAGCTTGTCCACTTCTCACTCTTAAGCACATTTTCTCTCCCTGTCTCTCTCTCACATACACACACGTGCGTGCGCACGCACACACACATTGTCTTTCACACTCACTTATTAAAACTACCCTCCCCACCCCACACCAGTCACTTCCCACAGCACCGTCTAGGAAACAGAAAAGTAAGGAATATTTTAGCTTTAAAAGAGAAACAAACAAATACTATTCCTGTCTCATAGTATATTTTTTTACTTAAAAAAAAAAAAAACAAAAAAACAGGATAAGTGTTCACAGAAACAATGGCCACTGCCGCGGTCCACACTCCTGTCCTGGGACCTGCTGCAGCTGCCCAGTGATTACCTATTCTGCCCCCCACAACACCCTCTGCCCTCTGCACTTAGGGACAGCCTTACCTTGCCCTCCAGAATGCTGCAAATGTACATGAGAATGGTTCTTGGAATCCTTGTCACAGTGATTAAAAATGACCCTTTTATGGCTGTTCCTTGATGGTAGCGGAAAAGAATGGAAAGAGACCAAAGGATTGGGTGATCAGGAGGGTCATTTTTATTTCTGGGAAGAGAGGAAAAAAAGACAGCACTTAAAAAACACCATTTAAAACTTCTCTGGTTCAAATTATCAACAGTGATGATTTATAAATGCAATAAGCAGTAACGCAATAAGCATTTGGCAAAACTTTCATACTCATTGGTAGCGAAGGTTAAATTATTTCTTGGACTGACTTCTTGTCATGCCGCTCAATGCTACAAATAAAACGGAAAATTAAAAAAAAAATACTGAGGAATGAAAATAAACAAGCTTCCCTCTTTACCATGCCTCCCCGCCCCCAAATCCTGTAAGTTTTCTCTTAATCTCATTTTCCCTTTCAGAAGTTTAATTATATAATCATTTCCAAGGTCTACATGACATATGTAAAAATTGCCAGCATTGGCTTGGTGATTAAAATCACCACCAAATCATGTGACCAGGAAGGGCAGCCACAGGGACACCAGTGAGCTCCAGCTTGACGTGAAAGGGACAGAAAGTTCCGGCTCCCGCACAGCTCAAGGACCCTAAAATCCAGCTGATTTCTACTCTGCTCTTTAAAGGTCACTTCAGTGTAAATCATTTCTGGAACGTGTCATGACACAGCAACCAGGAACGCAAAAGCCAGTCTCCCAAGCAGAGGGGAAACAAAAAGTGAAAAAGAACAGAATGGGCACAGCCTTCACCCTACCCCAAACCTGAAAGATAAAACAAAGGAGGGAGGGCTGGCGCCACCCCTCCCCTGACCCTCTCAATTCCCGCTGGTGCCAGTTCTAGAAAATGAGGCCCTTTCCGAGAAGCCACCTCTGATTCAAGTGAAGCTTGGTTACTTCATAATGGATTATGCTACAACTCGCTCTGGTTGCTAATAAGTCACTATGAATTAAGGTTTTGACAAGAGCCTAGGTTTTGAGGGAGAAAACGGAATGTGGCCAGAAATGTCTCAAGAGCTGGCAAAAGGGCTGTATTTTGCTGTTACTGAAATCATCCAGGAAGGAAAGGAGAACCCGAAAGTCCTATTGGGAGCAGAGGACCCATGATCCAGTCGCCCCACAAAAAGGATGATGTGTGTTTCAACTCAGTATTACTGAAAATAGGAAATACCAGGGAAACTATTGCTGATATGAATTCATGCTGGTCTGATAAACTAGAACAGTGGTATCGGCCAGGAAACTCTGACATGGTTTTTCCCTTTCCTCAGCTTTTTTTTTTTTTTAAAGGAAGAATGTTTACTTTTCCATTTAGGAGATTTATGTGCCTTAGAACTTATTAGAGCATCAAGAGGATACAGGGAAAAGAGGACAGCACCTGCTTTCTATCTGGTAGGGAAACAAGTGATTCACAGGCCACTGTGAGGGGGGCTCTGGGGTCTGGTCCTCTGGGTGTTGAAGTCTCGGCTTCAGTACCCTCGTTCTGAGAACATTTCCTTGGGAGGGGATCAACCATTTCAGGCAGCGGCGTGACTGCTGTAGTCTGTGACACACTCTGGTTGTCACTCGAGGCTCTCCAGGGCTTGGTTGGAAGAAGATGCCTCAGTTCCAGAAGTTGGGTTATCATGTGATGAGAGAAACAACTTAAAAAGAAGGCCCTTCCAACTCAGTCTGGCTCGTGGAGACAGGAGTCATTAAATACACCCCCCCACCTGCCCCCAATTAGAAATCATCCTACAGAAAAGGGTTAAACAAGTAGAGTGTCTCTGAGGCCTCCACCTTCTCTTCTTAGACCTTTCTCCATGTTCAAAGGTAACATGCCCTGCCATGCCTCCCTGGCTGTGTTTGTGGCCACGACCTTCATCTCTACCTCCTTCACAAGCAGCAGAACCTGCCCTCAGGAAGAGGACCTGATGATATCCGATGAAGCTTAAAATGATACTCATCTCTGGATTTCACGGTATTCTGAGAACTGGCTTGCGGGAGGGCAATGCAGCGCTGGGCGTGTCAGGCAACCTGGGGCTGAGCTGAGGAAGCCGGGGCCTCCTGGCAGGTCTGCCCTGTGTCGCCAGGGCATACTGCGTGTGCAGCACCTTCCACCCCGCTTCTGTGGCAGTGGCATAAGGAAGAGTTGGTGAGAGTGAGAGTGCAGGTGACTCTAGGATGCTTCCCCCCCAGGCCCCGGGACCCGGCGTCCCCTTCCTTTTAAACTTGTGGCTGTCCTGTGGAAGCCAGATCCCAGGACACCACGGCAACTCAAGGCGCCAAGCAGAGGCTCTAACCGTCCCCTCCATCTGGGTCCTGTGGCGGTTTTGGGTCACAGCCCACTAGGGTTGTGCGGCAACCACTCGTCCCTCAGACAACATGGCATCAGGCCAAGCAAGCAACTTCAGGGTCCCAGAGGCAAGTGTCAGCTGCAGGTGGCTCCGGCCAAGGGCTGAGGACTCAGCAACAGTATGAGGGTGTAACTCTGTGCAGAGGCTCCTGGACAAGGACCAGCCTGAATGGGAGGGACGGCCGCCAGTATAAATCCGGTCCCCAGCAAAGGGTTGCTGTGTGGTCCCCGAAGAGACCATCCTTTCCTGATGTTTCTTTCAGCAACATCACCATACGGTCCATCTTTCCAACTCTCCAGAAAAAGGAGATTGTCTTTATTATGAAGAACAGGATTCTGTAGCCTTCCCCGGTGACGCTGACTAGGGTTAGGAAACCCATCTGTCTCCCACTTAAATCCCACAGGCTCAGCTATTCACCCAATCCCCTCGCTGCCTTCTCAGCCAGTCGAGAGCAGCTGGAAACCATCTCTGGAATATCTGAAATCGATGATGAAGTCATGCCTCAAGCGTCCCTTCTCCAAGTTGAACGGTTCTAGTTCCTTCCTCTCACCACCCCTAGCCACATCTTTACGGCTCTCTGTGGACCCCTCTTCAAGTGAATGGTTGTAAAAGAGAAATTTTACAGGTCACTGTATCCTGAACGCTTGATGGTCTCTGTGTGATGTCTTAGCTCTCACGATGCTTACATGCATGACAAAGATGAACGCAGGCTGGCTAACCCCCACCCCCACCCCCAGAGTGCAGGCCAGGACATGAGATCTTGTCAACCGTGGGATGAGGAAAAACCTTAAGGTTTCCAAAATTTGGCACCATGTAAAAAAGAAAGCAGAACTCCTTAATAAAGAAATAGTGCTCTAAGTTAGTCGACATACGTTTTGTTTTTATCAAAGTAGTATGTAAATATCTTAAGTCAAATAGCACGAGGCTAATGAGAGAAGTCAGGAGTTTGCTTTCCCCACTGCTCATTTTCTTTCCCTAGAGGTCATACGTTAGCTATTTCTTCTGTAACTTCCCCCACACTTCCAAATTACATGTTCTTTCTGCCGTGTATTTTTTTCTGCTTCTGATATTGTCTACTGAATTCTCACTCTTTTTTTTTAGAGGTGGTGGGGAGGGGCAGAAGGAAAGGGAGAGAGAGAATCCCAAGCAGGTTCCACAAGCAGCCAGAGGCCAGTGTGGGGCTTCATCTCACGACCCTGAGATCATGACCTGAGCCAAAACCGAGAGTCAGACACTCAACTGGCTGAGCCACCCAGGCGCCCGACTTCTCACTTTGAAACATGTCTGTCAATTGTTTATCTTATACAACCTAAACATTTTCCCATTCTCTCCTTCTTATCAATAGATTTATATTGAAGTTTTTAGAGTTTTTCCTCTGCTTTATTGAGATATAATTGACATAAGACATTCTGTAAGTTTAAGGTATACGATGTGTTGATTTGATATATTGCAAAATGGTTACCACCACAGCACTAGCTAACACTTCACTAGCTAACACCTCCCTTACGTCACAGAATTACATTTCTTTATTGTGGTAAGAGCATTTATGTTCTACTCTCTCAGCAACTGTCAAGTATATAATACAGTCTTATTAACCACCATCACCATGCGGGACATTAGATCCCTAGAACTTATTCATGCTAACTTGAAGTCTGTACCCTCTAACCAGCATCTGGCCATTTCCCGCAGCTGCAACCCCAAGCCCTATTAGTTATCACTCTACTGTTGCTAAGTTTCTACCATTTTGGCTTTTTTACATTCTGTATATTACAGTATTTATCTTTCTCTGACTTATTTCGCTTAGCACAATGCTCTCAAGGTCCATCCACATTTTCACAAATGGCAAGATTTTCTTCTTTCTCATGGATGATTAAAATGCCATTGTGTGTGTGTGTGTGTGTGTGTGTGTGTGTGTGTGTTTGTGGTACCACATCTTCTTTATTTAGTCATCTGTTGATACTTGATCAACATGTGGGTTGTTTCCATAGCTTGGCATTGTGAATAATGTTGCAATAAACATGGGAGTGCAAATATCTCTTTGAGATCCTATTTTCATTTCCTTTGGATATATACCTAGAAGTGGGATTGCTGGATCATAAGGTAGTTCTATTTTTAATTTTTTGAGGAAGCTCCATACTGTTTTCCATGGTGACAGCACCAGTTTGCATTCCCACCTGTAGTGCACAGGGGTTCTCTCTTCTCCACACCCCTGCCAACACTTGTTATCTCTTGTCTTTTGATGACATCCATTCTAACAGGTGTGAGATGATATCTCCTTGTGGTTTTGATTTGCATTTCCCTGATGATGAGTGATGCTGAACACCTTTTCATGTACCTATTGGTTATTTGTATGTCTTCTTTGGAAAGATAATGTATGTTGTTCCTCTGCCCATTTTTTAACTGGATTTTTTAAAGAGGCGAACTTTATTTGTTTATGTATTAAATCTGTATATTTCTTGTTTCCTTTTTTTGAAAGATTTTATTTTAGAAAGAGAGGAAGAGCGTGCTCATGTAAGTGGGCGGGAAGTGCAGAGGGAAAGAGGGAGAGGCAGAAAATCTCAAGCCGACTCCATGCTGAGTGAGGAGCCCGACGCTGGGCTCTATACGAGCCTGAGATTGAGCCCTGAGATGAAACCAACTGCCTAAGCCACTCAGGCACCCCTTTGCTTATCTTCTTTTTTAAAGATGTTATTTACGGGGCTGCCTGGGTGGCTCAGTGGGTTAAGCCTCTGCCTTCAGCTCAGGTCATGATCTCAGGGTC